ACAACATGCATAAACTATAACATTGGGGTGTTTAAAAATAAAATGATATAACAAGCCTTTACATATTTAGTACAGATGGAATATTTTTTTAGTATTTTAATCAGTGGTTGGTTAAATTAAAGGATGTGGGACCCACGTCTACAGATACAGAGAATAATTCATTTGGAAAGAAATGATATATTTGGAAAATGATTTTTATTCCTGGAAGAATGTTATCTTAGTCATAAAAATATTAATGTAAAATATTTAACATCTGAAGCAATGTACATTTATATAATTTAGCTAAATGAGTGCAAAGTTGTCCGTCTTTTGCCAGTGCAGTCTACCTTTGTAGATTTCTGAAACTTTTTTGGTTGTTTGTTTGGTAATGAGGATCTAATTCAGGCTCTTGTGCTGGCCAGGCAGGTGCTGTGCTGCTGGGCTATATCCCAGATCCTGTTTGTTTGAGACAGGGTCTCACTGTGTAGTTTGAGCTGGTCTTGGGCTCACAATATAGCCCTCGAACTTGCAGCAATTCAGCTTCAGCCTCCTGAGTGCTGGGATTCCAGGAATGCATCACCACTCCACTCCCAGCTTCTGACTTCTTGATAAAGTAGATTAGAAGATTTGCAGCTTAGTGCTTTTTCCAAGTCATACTAATTTTTACATGAGTTACATAGAAAAAGTAATAATGATTGAAATATTGCTGCATATTAATCAATTTCAAAGCTTAAAATGTTGGAAAAGGCAGACAACAAAAGCACACAAAATAAAATTCTGAAGATGTCTCAAAGTTTTTCACTTTAGTCTGTAGACGAATCATAAGTATTTGCTATTTTTGTTGTTGTTTTGTTTTGTTTTTTTCAAGATGGTAGTTACTCTGGTGTAAATTTTCACTCAGTTCCCTGCCTTTGATACTGGAATCGGGACCAGATTTTGCGAAACATTGTTCTAAATTGATTTTCACAGTGCTTGTGATTTTGGTCGGGATTATTTTCTTTAGTGACTGTTACCTGAGTGCTGCTGTTCTGTCTACTCTGTGAATTGCAGTCCACAGATGTCTTGGAATAAAATTGGAAGATCTATAATTGCCAATGTTTGCTTAGTGCCAGAATCTGTCTGTAGAGGTCAAGTCTAATAACATTTATAAATAATTGTATTACATTGTAGATATAAGAGAAAGGATTCACGGGTATTTGCTTATTTTCAGACTATTTGTTTTCTGGCAAATGAGACATATGCTTGCTTTTCTGTCACCTATCAGCTGTCAACATGGGCAATATAACTATCTCCATTAAGCCCCAATTTTCCTGTCTATAGCACTGGTGAACTAAGTAAGAAAATAGGAGTAAAACAATTTCCACCACTCCTGGCACATAAAACCTCTTTTATTTAAATTCACCCTTGGAATTTGTTGGCCCCATTTTAACTACTTCATACTTTTTACTCTGTTAGTCTAATTCTAGGTTACTTTTTAAATATTCTAATTTTGCCTAATTTTTTTGTCAAATTAAAAGCAACTAGCTACTTAAGGCTGAATCCTATAGATCATGTACTCCAAGCCATTAGTGGATATACTTTTCAAAAGATTTATTGGTCTGTCATATGCTTACCTCTGCACTGAATGCACCCTTTTGCCCAGTTTAAGAATTGATAAATTATTTAGAGGTCCATCTTCAAATGCATTTTTGACAGAATGCCCCCCCACATTAAAATTTGCAAATATTAAGGAAAAGTCAAAAGAACTTTTTAAAGTTTTTATGTATTTTAATCTATATATTTCACCCTGATTTTCCAAGATACCCATATAAAAAGGAGATAACCTTTTTGAGAATTACAGTGTATATGAAGTAGGGAGCATTAACTTGTGCCAATTAAGGGGAGGGTGAAGTATAAAATCTTAAGATTTGTAAGTGTTTCTTGATCACTATTCTTTAAGGATATTTTTATCTGTTATTTTTGACCATTGTTACTAGGATATAGTTTACAAATATATAAATATACACCTGAATGAGTTTTGACTAATATATGCATACTCATGCAGTCATACCACTAGGTAACATATAGCATTCTTTTTCCTTTTTTTTTTTGTTTGAACCAACCTTTATTTATTTTTTTCCATAATTTTATTGAGAGACAAATAGCAATGAGACAGTTTCAAATCAAATCGGAAGTACAGTTTCAACAAATAATACACTGCATATATTCTTCTTAGTGGTTAATTGCTGTACAAGATGTGGACTTGTGATCCTATTTACAAACACCATTAGAACAAATCATTCTATTCATTAAGAGAATGCAACTATATATCTATCCTAACCACTTTGAATACACAGATACAAAATTGACATTCATTGGTATACCCCCTTTTTTCTAAGTTCCGTTATTGAATATTATAGGTGTGTAAACTCAGCAAAATATTTCTAAAAGAGTCCAGTAGCCCATAATAGCATTGGGTCTTCTGTTTAACTGGTAATGTCAGAAATTATTGACCTGAGTCCCCCACAGCTCAACTTAACAGCATGGCTTTATTTCCTATATTTCGTCTTCATACTTTTCTACTGGATGGTTAAGACCAAGGTAAAGCAGGACCTGTGCAACAAGAGTTGTAGCTTTTTGGTCTGACAAGGTCAGTGAAATGCCCTCAGGATTTATCCTGGGATCCTGTACCTCAGATTGTGGAACCTTTGTCAGTGCAGCCATGTGGATGAGTCACAGCCATTGCTTGGCCAATGTGCACCCCGTGAAAGCCTGAGAGAATGTTTTCTCTCCAGGTGACTCTCCTTAGGCACACTCTGCATCATCGATCACTTTCCTCTTTGGCCCGATAATCTCCTTGATCAGAAAATTTGGGATACTACTGAGTAACGTGATGTTACAGTACAAATTCTCATCTGTCTTGAGTCTTAATTGACCTTGGAAGGCTAGGGCCAAAATGTTGGCTTTCCTTGCGGCCCTCCTTTTTCTCTAATTTTGGTCTGCAAACTTAGGTTGTTAACCCTCCAGAAGAGAAGCTTACTGTTATTACCATACAACCGAGGCTGTTAAGCTTCACCTGACTATCTGTCTGAATATCAAACATCTTAGGCATAACATGGACCTTGTGCTTGCTTGCTTGCCAGGCAGGTGCTTTTTTTTGTTTCCCCACATTTTTAAATAGTATTTGTTAGACTTTATCTTTTTACTAAAAACAAGTTTATATTATTCTCTCTTTTGGGTGTAGTGCCATTTTTAGTAAGAGCAGAGTCTGATCCTCAGCAGTACATCTCTGGACTTTCTACAAATCTTACCCACTTATTTGAGACTCTTCCAGACACCTTATGATGTTGCCCTGTTTCTTTCTGACCAAAGTATGACTATGACCTGGATATAGACAAATGTCAACTCATCCTCTAATCTTTTCCCCAAAGCCTCTTTTTTCTTCTAGTTTTCACCATCATGACATGAACCAGTCTTTGTGTTATTTTCTCTTCTCTTATGTACTTAAATACAATATACTGTTTTTTTCTCTATTAATCTATTAGAAGTTCCTCATAATTTCTGGTCCATTGAAAACCCCTCATCTATATTTTCTTCATCAGCTCTTGATTCCTTTTTTAAAAAAATATATTTTCTGTAGGTTATGTGATATGGTGGGAGATAGTTTGTGATACATTCTCATCGTTGCGGTGTTTTCCCCTATATACTTACATAAGAATATAGAAAAAAATAAACTGTTGCATGTTTTCCCTGGCACTGTTGTCAGGATGGCATAGGTGATAGAGCTAGAGACTTTTTCTATTCTTTCTTCCTCTTTTCTTAACTTTGTCTCCGTTCAGTGATACCCTCTTCAAATCTCCATGCACTTGCCATTCCCTTCCTCCACAGAGGTAAATACACTGGCCTAAGTCTCATACAGAGGAATGACATATATATTTATCATGGTGAGCCTGGAGTTTTTCTGGCATGTTGGAAAGTTATTTTGTTTAAGTTGTATGTTACATTTGTTTCTACAAATCTACTTCACAAAGACAAAGACTTTACTCTTCAGATTTTTGTTGGTCTGTACTAAAATTTCATTGGAGCTTTTTCAGCTGCCTTACAGTTGTTCTTATAGGGGAGGGAAACTACGCATCCTAGGTTCATGGCCACAGCTTCTATAGTAAAAGACATATTAACAAAAGAAAACATAGGTATGTAATGTAAACGTTATGTGGTGTAGCTTTTATAAAGAAATGAAAACCTGAGGAAATAGTTAAGCTTCCATGTTTTTAGGTTATGCTGGATGTAAAAGCATAAAATCATGGAAAAATGTGTTAAGACAAAGAGAACATGATACAATAATAATACATTAGAGAAAACCGTGTGGCCATTTGTTCAGATTCTTCTTTCTGACCCTTGCTGTTCATAGATCAAGATAGTTATTTATTCTAGATATGGCAGGGTAGATTTGAGGATTTCCTAACCTACTTCAGAGAGTGTAAAATCTTCCAAAGTTTTCCACCCACCTTAACAAAAGGGCAGGACGATGTTAAGAAAGATCTTCCTGTTCTGCTGCTTTTCATTATTTCAGGGTGGCACTATGTCTGAATCTTGCCATTCCTCTTCTTCATTCTCCACGTTTATTGAGTAGTATTCTGATAGAGAAATAGCAACTTCCTTACCTTATCAGTGATAAATCCAAGTAGCATCAGAGACAGAAGGCTGGGGAAGGTGACTATAAATGGCACTATTTATCTCATGGACAAGGGCAACAAGGCACCAGAATGTCTGTTTAGTAAGTTATTGCTAAATTTTAAAACATTATTTGACGAGTTAAATAAAATGGATAGTATTTGATTTTGTGTTAAATCACAAGTAGCTCTTTCCTGAAGAAATGCATTTTGCTCTTTTTGGGGTTGTCTTTGATGATGGAAGCTAGATAAAGTGAGTGGTGTATATTTTCTTTTTAGATTAAATTGAATTTTTAAATTTTACTTAACATGAAATTTGTGGACTAAAATCTGAATGTATGATTATTGAAATTCATTTTTATATAACAGGATAGACATGCTTCTGTTGACACTCAAGATCATTGTCATGTGTGGCACGTGAATCTAGAAGCCCTTCCAGAATGGATAAGCTGCCTAATACAAAAGGTACATATTTATTCTCTGGGAAAAATTAATAATGTTACAACATTCAGCATATTTGTCCCCTTTTTAGAGCTGTTTTTCTTAGATGTGTAGTTTCATGATATGTGAACAGTTGTGTTGCTCCTGATTATACTTATGGGATTGCTCACTATTATTGAGGCAGTCCAGATACTGTCTCAAATTTTGTACTTAGAATTTCTCCTTCCAGAGGGCTGGAGAGATAGCTCGACAGTCTAAATGCCTGCCTGGCAAGTGCTAGGATCCTGGTTCAATCCCCTTACTGTTTGCTGTGCCAGCCTCAGCACCCTGCACACACCATGCCAGCCACTGAAACTGGGCGTGGTGGTACATTCCTGTAATCCCAGTGCTGGGGATGCTGAAACAGGAAGATCACTATGAGTCAGAGCTGTGTAGTGAGGTCCTGTACCAAATATATTTTTTTAATTATTTAAAAAAATTTCTCCTTTGAATGTTATTCCCACAGATATACTCATGATTTCTCCCCTTTTAGCTGTATTTTACTTTCAGAGACAATATGGTTAACTTAGGAACTATTTAACTTCACTCAGCCCACCCCATTATCCCTTTTTGTATTGTCTTTCTCTCTTCTCTGCTTTATATATTTGTCTACAATTTATAGACTCATGTACATGATAGGCAACATATATTACTTATAAATATATACATATATATGACATGTAAATGTATAATTATAATATATATATTTTACCCACAGACACATAGATAACTTATCTTGTTGATTGCCTAGTTACCCAGAATATATGCTTCAAAAAATGAGAGATCTTTACATTTTTGTCACTACTATGTCCTCAACATCTGGAATAATATTTGTTAACTGAGTGAAATATCTTGTATTAATCTTTAATACACACATACACGTAAAAAATGATAGATAATTAACTTCTGGAATTAACAGAATTAAAATGGTAATGAAATAGCATAAGAGCACCAACTATATTTTTTAATAACCTGGTATAACTTTTACAGTGCAAAATACCTATCTTACAAAAGAATAAGTATTATTTTTGGAAAATATTTTCAGATAAATACATTTTACCACTAAGTAGCTCTTGTTGTTGTCAACCAAAGTAACATTTGGTAGATATTCTTTGCATCCATTATCACACTGTAATGATTTCCTGGGAGGGTGCCAGTATGCTGCTTTTAGTGTCCTGAACTTTACAAAATATATTAGGACATTATGTTCTACTGTTGTTCAAACGATCATTTTAGGAAATTCATTTATTAATTTTTATGTGAGTGTAGAAAATGAGCTATCTGATGTACCAGTCAATATCTGTCACTTGAACATAAAAAGCCAGAAAGAGTTTTCTATTCATTGGGTTAAGTTCCCTCCTTTGGTGCTTGGTATGCAAGAAGTGTATCAAAACAGACACTTTTCTGTGAAATTTTACTTGCAAATTAAGCTCTGTAGACTGATTTGCTGCCTAGGTCCATAGAGTAATTTTCTTTTCATTAGTTCACAGCATAGCCATATTTAGCCTATTGTTAAAAGATTCTCTTTTGGAATTCTTAGGACTGTTGTTTGGTTGGGCGTGATTTACAGTGTTATCATACTAGAACTTTGTAGCTGCTTATCTCTATTTGCTGTTCTAATAATCTGAAAACAGAAAGTTAGACTTTTCAGTAGCATAGAAAACTTTCATGTGGTCGGTTTTTTCTTTTTCTTTTTTTTAAATTCACATTTGGTTTGGTCACTTTGCAATGGAAATATTGTCCTTATTTTCCTTTTATTACCTATAGGCACAGTGGACTTTTGGAAAATTGAACTGCCCTTTCTGCGGGGCCCATTTAGGGGGCTTTAACTTTGTCAGCACTCCAAAATGTTCCTGTGGCCAGCTTGCAGTTGTATATCTCTCCAAGAGCTGGACCGATTATCAAGCAACACAGGCAAATGGATTAATGAGACCATCGCTGAAATACTTGTCCAATTCTAGAATTCAGCCAGGTTGTAACAAAGAAACTCTGCTGACAGGTGGTGGCTCCAGAAAGAGGCTTTTAAACATGGCCCAAAATAATAATGGCCTTGGAAGATTAACAGAAGCACTCTGCCTGGAGGTGAGATCAACTTATTTTCAGATGAAGAACAAAAAATTGCTCTTCAAAGCACCAGATTCAAAATACCAGCTTTTTGTTCCCCAACTAATGTCTGGCAGATGCACTGCAAGAGCTTTTCATAGAAAATCACATAGTTTGGATCTGAACATCAATGAGAAGCTGACTTTGTTACCCACTTTATATGAAATACATAGTAAGAGTACTGCCTATACCAGGCTAAATGAAACACAGCCTATTGACCTTTCAGACTTGCCTTTACAGTCTAGTAAAAATAGCTGTTCTTTTCAGAATCCATCTAGTTTTGATACTGATTTGCTGCTACAAAGATTTTCTGTGGCTCCCCATGAGACCCAGACACAAAGAGGAAGAGAATTTCAGTGTGGTCTAGAAGCTTCTTCAGTGTACTCGGACCACACAAATAGCAACAACCTGACTTTGCTGATGGACCTACCTTCAGCTGGCAGGAGCATGTTAGAGACCTCAGACCAAGAAGAGCACCTCTCCCCTCTGGAATTCCTCCGTTCAGCCAGTAAATTTTCATTGGGCAACATTAATCAGAGGCTAAATAAGAGAGAAAGAAGCAAGTTGAGGAATCTAAGAAAGAAACAACAAAGGCATGAAAGATGGCTGCAGAACCAGGTAATTTTTTTAAAAGTTTATTAAAAATTATATATTTATGAATATTGTGGCTGAGAGAGTAGAGCTAAGTTTGAATACCTGTGTTATAAAACTTTGGTTTTAATTGTTGAAATGACATTTTTCTGTAAGTACACTTAGTAATCATGTAGCCCTATTATAATTAACATGTATTACCCTGTTTCTGTGTTTCATACATAAAAAGCCTCTTTTACTCAGTCTTGCACAATTCTGATATTTTAGAAGAATATTAATCTCATTCTTTGTCATAAACGTTTTAAATTTATTATATGATTGTTTTGCAATGCGTTTATATTAGATTAAGTTGCAAAACTCTCTAAATCCAATCAGGTATTACATTCATTCACTTCTCATCACATTTATTTTAAATGGATATTTCTAAAGAACTTTATTTACTTACATGCTCACATGACCCAGATAGGAATAACTGTGCTCACTTGTAGGAAATATCTAAAGGGTAGTGTACTTTACTGTAATTTAGTAGGAGAGTTTACCTCTTTATGATTTGAACTACTTGTGTGCAGTATAACATGTTCCAGAGCATTTTGTGTGAAAAGACTGAACATTAAATGTTAGGTGCTGTCTAAATCACTTTAAGGCTTTGAATTGAGGTACTGTGAAATTTGGAAATGTAAGGACTGATATATTTCTGTGTAAACATTTTTTTAGCAAATTGCCTTTTTATTTGATTAGGTTGTAGTTCTTATTAATGAATATTAATATTAAGAATTCCCAGAACTAAAAGATGGAAAACTTCAATAAATATAATAGTTTATTTTTTAATATAATTAAGTGCACTGATTATGGTTTATGAAGCTAGTTGTAAACTCAGTAAACTAAAAATACTGCAATTAGTTGTGCAGTCCCATTAACCATAATAGAATTAAAGATAGTCTTTGTTATATTTTTGACTGGTTGCTAATACAAACACTTCAGTTTGGTTTATTTACAAGTGATAGTATACTGTAATATTGACTAATATTTTATAAAATGTAAAAAATGAGTATTTTAGCATCATTATAATATACTTAATAGTATATCTTACTGAAGCTGTGAAATATCAACATTTCAGAATTTGTGTTATACCTATATAAAACTAAGCTATGTTGAGTATTGAGAAGAAATATTTTAAAAATACTAGAGAACTCTAAAATACAGAAATTTAAAAATATGAAAATTATACTTAATCTATACTGTTAATATATGCAGATAACATCTTTGCCACTTGAAAATTATGTTATTCTTTGATTGAGTACTTCTGAAAACCTCATGTATATTATTATTTCTCAGCAGGTTAGAAAAAAATAAGGGCAAAGTTAAAGGATTTTTTCCTTTTTTTTTTTTCTGTGTAGATGAAGTGATTTTTACTCATTCTCACATGTATGATTTAAGCAATCTGCCTAGCAAGTTGATCAGAATTAATGAGACTTAGGCCTGTGACAGTTCAGTATAGGGAGTGACATGGCAGAATCCTGATCAATTTGATTGGTTGCATAGAAGCCATAGGCAAACAAATGTCCAGTGTTATATTAGCAAAATAAATAAATGAAAAAATAATAAATAATAAAACATTAAAAAGACATAGAAATTTAAAAGGTCCATGAATTGATTGTATGAGTTCATTATTTAAATAATATGACATTATGAAAATAAAAACTTTGTACTAGCCACCTCCCCAACACTTTTTGTTTTCTGAGGCAAAATCTAGCTAACTCACTATGTTTGTCATGCAGTACTGCAGCTTGGGCTCTTTCTACCTCAGCCTCCCAGAGTGCTACCATCTAACAACAACAATAATAATTTTCAAAGTCTACCTTGCTAATTCTCTGTTCTCTGGTCTTTGGTGACAACTGTTTTATTTTCAGAATCTGAGATCAGTATTTGTAGATTCCACATATAACTGAGATCACATGCTGTTTGTCTTTTTGTATTTGACTGTCTTCAATGGAATGATTTCTAGTTTCATCCATCCTTTCTATGGCTGAGCAGTATTCTGTATTGCATATCATAGCTGTTTCCATTTCTTGGGTGTTGTGAACAGTGCTGGGATAAACTTGGGAGTGCACCTGTCTCTTTAACATACTGATTTTATTTCCTTTAGACTAATGGGATTGAGGATGGTAGTTTGTTCATTTGTTTGTTTATTTTTGCAATCTTCCACACTGTGTTCCATAATGGCTGAACTAACTCATATTCCCACCAAGTATGTAAGGGTTCCATCTTCTACAATTTCTTGCTAAAATTTATTATCCTTTTGTGTAGGTTTTGTAACAAAAATGAGATTGTAAGGGGGCCGAGGATATAGCTCGGTGGTATAAGTAGCTGCCTGGCAAGCACAAAGTCATGAGATCAATCCCCGATACCAAATAAATAAATAAATAAATAAGATTATATCTCACTGTGGTTTTGCTTTCCATATGCCTGAGGACTAAGGAGGATGAACATATGTTATATATCTGTTGACATTTTATTCTGTTCCCTTGGTCTGTCAGTTTTGATACCATTTCCATGCTGGACCTTTTTTTTTTTTTTTTTTTTTT